GAAGCCCCAAGCCCCAAAGTCTCACCTGGTGTCTCTCAAGAACAGAGGGTTCCAACTCAGACCACACCCTCAAAGGCGACGGCCCCGCGCCGTCTGCCTTCAAGTTCTCGTGAGAAAACTGTGATGACAGAGTCACAGTGCCCTGAGAGGCGCCCTTCATCTTCTACCGCAACGCGAGGGTGAGGCAGTGGATGTCTCCAGCAGTCCCCCGGAGCCGCCTCCTGCCTCGAAAGGTGGTAAAATCTCGTCCGATGTTGAGGAACCAAAGAAAAAGACTAAAGCGACAGGTCCAGAAACTGGCACATAGCAAGTGCTTATTCATAGATGCTGTTTAAACTCTACGGAAAATGTTTCTTGACACTCCATACACCTCACAGCATCAACGTTCTCTATCGCTCGCTTGTATTACCCCACTCACTCTTTCCAACCTAGGTTAACCTCTCTGTTCTTCTTTTTCCGACTCTCTCTCTCTCTCACTCCCACTCACTCTTTGGGATCAGTTGAGACAGGAATAACGGCGACTCCCTCACCAGTGGCGTTGGCCCGAAATCTCGACCCCCTTGGAGGTCAGAGGGGGCAGTTCCACGAATATCAGCCAGAGGACTATTGGCGACTCCCTCGCCTGGGGCGCTACTCTTGTTTGTTGTTTTCCCGAGGGTTTGGTCGGAACTGCCCTTCTGTAGAGTCAATCCACACCCATTTATGTCCTTTTTCATTTTTATGAAATTCTTTTTTTGTGTGTGTTTCCTCCCCGCAGGGGGCACCTGTGAAAGCAGGTGTTTGGAGAGTGGCGTCTCCACGGACCCCGAGCTCCGCAGGGGGCGCCTGCACCTTAGGTGCTAGGTGCTTGGTGAGTAGCGTCACCACGGACCCCAGCCATGTGGGCCACCATACCCGCACGCAGGGGGCACCTACTTTTGTAGGTGCTTGGTGAGTGGCGTCACTACGAACCCCGAGCCATGTGGGTTCGCCCACCCACGTCTGGCTGTGCGTGGCGTACCCGTGTCGGGGGAAAGGGGACCCTGGTGGTTGAGCTGAGCCCGGGGTATGTTTGGACCCTTCGGGGCCCCCCGGGCGAGGCAATACACCGCTTCGACCCCTGCTTCTCGTAGACGGGTGTCCTGGCTTGGCCCGACCAGGATGATTCGGTCAGTCGCCTCTTCTACCCTCTTCTTCCTTCTTTCACTTTTCCTTCCACGTCTTTCTCTTTTCTTCTGCACTCTCTTCCTTCCTTTTTCACCTTCTTAGGCGGCAAAGGCTAACCTTGAGTGGAAACAGGTCCTGTCCCTGCATCCACACTCGGTTATAGTGCCCGGGCAGCACTGGTAGAGTAATTGTGTCAGCCAAGCCTTTCTTGTTATGGCACATTACCTACCCCCTCGTTGGGCTCCGTGGTGGGCGGTGCACCCGGGCACTGAAACTCCTTCCCATCTATATGGGTTCTCAAACTAAAAAACGTCCTGATCGGGCCCTGAAAAGGACCCGCACCGAAGTACCGTTTCAATTTGAAATGTCTCTTGTTTCCGAAAAGTTTCCGAGATTTCTAGTTTTACATTCTGAAAGTGAAAAGCCTCTGAGCAAACTGTCCCCCTTCCTTGTAGCCAAGGTACTGGAAGGCGTTGTTGGTCAGAACTTTCATGCGAAGAAAATGGCATCCGGAGACCTCCTTGTAGAGATCAATACAAAACAGCAGAGTGATGCCCTCCTGGCTCTCAACTCGGTTTCGGACTACAAAGTCACTGTTTCTCCGCACCGCAAACTGAACACTGTCCAAGGAGTTATTTCCGAGGACGACCTGCTAGACACATCAGACGCAGAGTTAGTGGAGGGGCTCTCTAGCCAAGGAGTTGTTGCTGCGCGACGAATCACTATTCGTCGTGATGGCAGCGAACGGAAAACAAAGCACATCATCCTAACCTTTGACAGCACCACTCTCCCTGCGACTGTAAAGGCAGGCTACCTACAGTGCAGAGTCCGACCCTACGTGCCAAACCCCCAACGGTGCTTCAAGTGCCAGCGGTTCGGCCATGGGTCACGTAGCTGTCGGGGGGCCGACACATGTGCTAAGTGCTCAAGCAAAGAACATGTTGCCGACAACTGTGACAATGAGCCAAAATGTGCGAACTGCGAAGGTAACCACCCTTCATACTCGCGTTCCTGCCCTCTTTGGAAACAAGAAAAAGAAATACTGACGCTGAAAGCCAAAGAAAACATATCATACGTAGAAGCAAAGAAACGATTTTCTTTCTTATCAAAGGGTGGATATGCCGAGGTCGTGCGCAGGGGACCGGCACGACCAGTGACGGCATCGACGGGAACCCAGACGTCTCCGGATGATCTGCGGCTCTCGTTGAAGTCCCCTCCTAAACCCACAGGGGCGGTGCCAGTGGCACCGGGTCCCAAGCCCAGGGTGGATGCTGGGCCCCCCGGGCGAGGCAATACACCGCTTCGACCCCTGCTTCTCGTAGACGGATGTCCTGGCTTGGCCCGACCAGGATGATCACTAGCATCCACTTCAGAGCAGGGGAAGGCCCCCACTGGTCGGGGCCGGCCACCCCGCACCTCTGGTCCGAATAGACCTGGTGAGCCGTCACGGCAGTCGACCCCCCAGGGGCGGCCGTCGGCGACGCATGAGGAGCCCATGGACGAGAGTGGGCCCAGATCCGACGAGGAGGTTCCCTCCTCAGGATCAGTGTTTTCTTTCTCTGCCCCCAGTGACCCCACTGGGAGGCAGGCAGATACGTCGAAAAAGAAAAACGCTCCACGTGTAAAAATTGATTTTAAACCATAGTGATGTCATCTTATGTTTCGTCCTGTTTTTTAGTCTATTTTTTTATTTTTACCTTTTTATTGCTATGAGTAAACATATGGGCGTCATGCAATGGAACTGTCGCGGCCTTCTTCGTAATATTGATGACGTGAACATGTTTCTTGATGAGCTCCGTCCCGTGGCGCTCTGTTTACAGGAAACTCATCTCAATGACAATCATACACAGATCTTACGTCGTCACCAAGTTTTTAGGAAGGATCGCCTTTCCCCCACTCCTTCCGGTGGTGTTGCAGTAGTAGTGCAGAATGGAGTGGTGTGTGCTCAAGTACCTCTTCAAACACCACCTGAGGCAGTGGCAGTTCGTGTCCTCTTTGATCGCCTCATCACCATTGTGTCGCTCTACCTTCCACCTAACAGTCCATTGCATCTCCATGAACTCCAAGGCCTCGTAGATCAGCTGCCCAAACCTTTTTTAATCTTAGGTGATTTTAATTCCCACCATCCTTTGTGAGGAAGCTCTCGTCAAGATTCCCGCGGTGGAGTTATTGAACGGCTCCTATCGCTATCTGGACTGTGTCTTTTGAATAAGAGAGAACCAACCTTTTTTAGCTCTGTTCATAACACATTCACATCAATAGATCTTTCCATATCATCACCATCTTTACTTCCATGTTTTTCGTGGAAGGTTTTAAATAATCCTTTTGGAAGCGATCACTTCCCCATAATTTTAGAAACAGTTATACCTCTTCCTTCGCTTTCGACCCGCCTTCCAAGGTGGAAGTTTGAGAAGGCCGACTGGGCTCTGTTTGGTTCAGAAGCTGTGTTTGATTCCTCTTTATTTACTAGTATGTCTGCAGAGGAGGCGACAACTTATGTCACTGAATGTTTAATTAATGCTGCTGCATCGTCTATCCCACAAACCTCTGGTAAGCTCCCCAGGAGATGCAAACCCTGGTGTAACGATGAGTGTACAGCCACTCGAAAGAAACAAAATAGGGCTTGGGGAATCTTCCGCCGATATCCGACGCCTCTTAACTTGATAGAATTTAAAAAAAGCAGAGCCAAGGCTCGATGGACGAGAAAACAAGCCAAAAAGACATCGTGGGTTAAATATATTTCAGCCCTAAATAGCTTTGTACCGTTAAAAGAAGTGTGGGACCGCCTGCGGAAGGTCCGAGGAGATTACCAATCCTTTCGAACTCCTCTCTTTTCCTCCTCCTCTGTATCACTCAAAGATCAAGCAAACATCCTTGGTGAACATTTTCAGCTTATCAGTAGTTGCTCAAATTTCAGCGCAAAGTTTAAGAAATTCCAGTCTATTGCTGAAAAGCAGTCAATTTCCATGTTAGGGTCTGCCACCGTTTCATACAACAAACCATTCACTATGGGTGAACTCAAAGTAGCACTTGCTACAAAAAAGCAGGCTACACCAGGCCCAGATAAAATTCATTATGAAATGCTTAGACACCTGTCCCCTGAATCACTTTGCCATTTGCTGACGTTTTTTAATCACCTATGGAAACAAGCTGCATTCCCTCAGTGCTGGAAATGTGGTCATGTTATACCTCTCTTGAAACATGGAAAAGATCCCTCTGTCCCCACAAGCTACCGCCCCATCGCACTCACTAGTTGCCTGGGGAAGACATATGAAAGGCTCATTAATCGGCGTCTTCTTTATTTTTTGGAGGCTGAGAACTTTTTTGATGTTAACCAGTGTGGATTTCGAGAGGGACGATCAACCACAGATCACTTGGTTCGTTTAGAAACCCTTATTCGTGAGGCATTTGTGCACCGACAACATTGTGTTTCGGTATTTTTTGATATGCATAAAGCATATGATACCGCATGGAGGCATGGAATCCTTCGAGATCTGTACAACTGCGGTGTGCGCGGTCGATTGCTTCAGTGCATACAAAACTTCCTAACCAAGCGAACCTTTCAGGTTCGCTTGGGTGGCACACTGTCAGATGTTTTTAGCCAAGAAAATGGGGTCCCTCAAGGAGGAGTTTTAAGCGTTACCCTTTTTGCTGTCAAGATCAACAGTCTTGGAAGGGTGATACCGCCATCGGTATCTTATTCTCTTTATGTAGACGACGTGCAGATCTCCTTCTCTTCATGTAACCTCTCCAGTTGTGAACGGCAACTACAACTCACTATCAACAGGATGAGCAAATGGGCGGATGAAAACGGTTTCAAGTTTTCTCCCGAAAAAACTGTTTGTGTTCCCTTTTCATTGCGCCGGGGTTTATCTTTGGACCCCACTTTGCATCTCAATAACATAGACATATCTGTTCAACAGGAACACAAATTTCTTGGTGTAATCTTTGACAAGAAGCTTTCTTTTGTGCCACATTTGAAGAAGTTGAAACGTAAATGCTTAAGTTCTTTAAATGTTCTCAAGGTGTTGTCCCACATTTCATGGGGATCGGACAGGCGATGCCTCTTACGATTATACAACTCCCTGGTTCGGTCTCGGCTTGACTACGGTGCAGTCGTGTATGATTCGGCACAATCTTCTACTTTGAAGATGCTGGATCCCGTTCACCACTTGGGGCTCAGACTTGCCTCCGGTGCATTTCGTACATCACCTGTGTTAAGCCTATATGCTGATACACATCAGATGTCGCTTGAGAAACGCAGACAGTACCTGAGTCTCTGTTATGCTTATCGGGTCTATTCTAATCCACAACACCCAGGTTACAGTGCCATTCATAGCTGTCGTTTCTCTCGACTTTTTGAAAACAAGCCGACCATTGTACGGCCACTCAACTTTCGCATTCAGAATTTCAGTGCTTCCCTTCATGTCCCACTTCATGTTGCCGTGCTAAATTACAGGGACAGAGTTGCTCCTTGGGACGAAGTCCCAATCGTTTGCGACTCGACACTTACAAAATACAGTAAGCGGGCTACCTCCCCACGAGTTCTTCAACAGGAGTTCCTTTCATTACAGGAGACTTATAGAGGTTACACTGAATTCTATACCGATGGGTCGTAATCCTCGTCTTTTGTTGGCTGCGCAGTATATTCTGGTTCCTTCATGAAATCTCTTCAACCTAACTGTGTGGCAAGCATCTTTTCTGCAGAGCTTTATGGCATTTTACTATCTGTTGATCACATACTAAAAAAACAATATAAGGAAAGCTATTCTCTTTGTTGATTCTCAAAGCGCATTACTGGCTGTGTCCTCACTGCTCCCTACAAAGAATCTTCTTACTCTACATGTACGAGGTAAATTATATGGAGCCCTCCGACTCGGACATGACATAAAGTTTTGTTGGGTGCCGAGTCATGTCGGGATTCTAGGGAATGAGAAAGCCGATAGCTTGGCTGCATCTGCCAAAGATTTAGTAGCAACTTGTGGATTACCTCATCAAGATTTGAAGCCGTTTTTGAAAAAATCACTCTTGATGTCATGGCAGTTGGAGTGGGACAGAGAGTATGACAATAAGCTTCATGTCATAAAACCCATTTTGGCCCTGTGGGAGAGCTCGTTTCACAGGGAACGGCGTGTAGAGGTTCTGCTCTGCCGCCTAAGAATTGGCCACACACGCTTGACGCACTTGCACCTTCTTCGTGACGAAAATGTGAAGCTTTGTTCCCATTGTGGGAAAGGCCTTACAGTGTTACACATTTTATGGCATTGCCCTTTTCACCATCAGTTGCGCCGGTCTAGCTTCCCTGAACTTTTTAGGGGTTATCTTCCCTTTCATCCAATGTTTTTACTCAGTGACTGCCCTTTAGTGCCTTTTCACCGTGTTCTCGACTACCTAAAGAAAACTGGCTACCTACGCCAGTTGTAATAATTTTTTTATACTGTTATCTAAAACCGTTTTGTTTAGTGCCAGCTAAACAACATTGAATTGGCGCAATATGACCTCCGTTGTCAATGCGCCACTAAAACCCTAATCATCATCATGTGTGTGTTTCCTTAGAGCCCCACCTTGTGAATGGTGCATCACAGCTTTAGCTGTTCCTACGCTAGGGCTCCAAACTCGAGGTCCTTAGTTTAAAACTTGTTACCGAAAATAATTCTTATTTTAGTCGAACTGCCGAGGGTCTCCTGCATAATTATGACGATGTTTGCTCCCTTTTGGAGGAATATCGTCCACTGGCAGTGGTGTCTCCAGGAAACTCACCTGAAGGATTGTCAATCGAATGTCTTTAGGCACTAATTCTTTCTGCAAGGCGAGAGATCACTCGTCTCACCCTTTCTTCAAACTTTCATTCAAAGTGTGAAAATCCTAGATCACTCATTGCTCAACTCCCCCATCCATTCATTATGCTTAGTGATTTTAATGCACACAATCCTTTATGGAGTAGTGCTAGACGCGATATGCGCAGAGCAATCGTCGAACGGTTTATTTTGTCTACAAATTTGCGTCTGTTTAATGAAAAGAAACCTACACATTTTAGTGCACCCACGAACTCGTTTACATAAATTAACCTCTCTGTAAGTGAACCTATTTCATTTTCACTGTTTTCATAGCGGGTTACAGATAATCATTTAGGCAGTGACCGCGTACCGTTTCTTTTAAAACGGAATATCCCAGGTGTGACCCTCCCCGCCCGAACGCCCCCCACCCGTGCCATACCGTCATCAGCCTCATGTAACCTTTGAATCCGCGAACGCAGTGTTCAGCCAACTATTAATGATGTGACAAGATGCGCTGCCAATAACGATTTTAATTTATCCACCGAGAAAAATGCTTGTGTTTGTTTTTCACAAAATCGTGGTGTGCCGATGCCTTCGTTAACCATACGGTGCACCAGTTCAGATAAAAACGGAGTATAACTTTCTGGGGCTTGTATTTGACTCTAAACTCTTTCAGCCAACATATCAAAGCGTTAAAACTAAGATGCCATAAATCTCCCACGTTACTTGGAATTCCGATCGATTGTGCCTGCTAAGAATCTATAGGTCGATTGTACTGTCACGCCTAGATTATTGATGCTTGATGTATGGATCAGCGAGTGCATCAGCACTGAGTATTTTAGATCCAGTCTATTACGCAGGGATCCGACTTGCCACCGGTGCGTTTCGTACATCCCCTGTGTTTAGTCTCTATGCTGAAGCCAATGAAATGTCTCTGGAGAAAAGGCGAGCTGTCCTAGGTCTAATGTATTCGCTTGGGATACGGTCTGTATCGGCCATGTCGGGAACTAGTAGAGGGAACACGTTTTGAACGAACTTTCCAGAGTAAGCCTACTGTTAAGCCTCCCTTTTCATTGCGGAGCAAGACAGTAGCTGTCTCGGTTAGCCTTCAGACGAACCCACCTGTAGGTCAGCTTTTGGGAACAGTGGCACCATGGGAGCGTAGTCTGCTCATCACAGACTTGTCACTTACTGAGTACACTGAGGAAAATACTCCACCAGAACTCTTAAAACAGGGATTCTTTCAGCTGCAAGATGCATATAAAGACTACACCAGCTTCTATACTCACGGCACAAAAACCGACTCCTCTGTCGGCTGTTTCGTGAATGGATCATCACTTAAATGTGTGCGGAGGATTAATTCCAGTGCAACTGTCTTGACTGCCGAATTGTATTGTTTAATATTGAACACAGACCATATCAAATATAGGCATCCATACTCTGTAGTTTACTTTACACTGACACACAAAGTGCTCTGAGAGCACTCAGATCCCTTGAGATAGCTTGAGATAGAAGAAAACCCTCTTATCACTCAGCTACAACCTAAAGTGGTTTCCGGAGTTGTAGAAAACAAAATGCATATAGTGTTTTGCTAGGTGCCTAGTCACATGGGTATACCTGGCAATGAAGCTGCTGATCGTGCCGCCTCCACATGTGCTGCAAGGAATGTTGATATTCGCGACATACCCTACCAAGACTACACAGCGACTATAAAGAAAAGCATTAGGTGTAAACGGCAAAAGGAACGGGCCCGCGAAACCAACAACGAACTCCCTGTTCTGAAGCCGATGCTCGAGGATTGGGCGAGTGCCCGTCACAGGGACCGTTTTTTGTCGAGATCGTTCTTTGTCGGTTAAGAATTGGCCACACACATTTGACACATGGGTATCTGCTTCGCCGAGAGGATCCACCTGCTTGCGAACACTGTTGAGAACTGTGGTGAATGTCCTTCTTGCGTGCCCCGCATATCACAGCTAGACACTGCCAATTCCCCTTCGCCCAGTTTTACGCAGCACACATGCCTCTACACCTTGCTCTTCTGCTTGGAGATGAACCTTTTTATGAATCGTACATGTGTCTTTGAATTCCTAGAAATCACTGGACTTTTACGACAACTTTAAACTACCTTTGCAATTTTGAAATTTTTCATTCACATTTTTTATATACAGATTGATGTCCATCCTTTTATTTTATCACTGGCCACTAGAGCACTTTCACTTCTCTCAAAATCCGTTTCTTGAATTAGTCGCAGATTTTGGCGCTCCATACCCCTAGACGCTTTTTCACCAATAAGACTTAATCAATGAAATGGGGGGGGGGGGGGGGGGGGGGGGAGCGTGCGACGACGTCAGAGCGCCGAGCTCTGATTGGATGAATTAGTGGGTAGAGTCAAAGGCTAGCTGCCCTTGCTTCTACCCCCAGCCTCCAGTCAGAGCGAACGAGAGCGTCGTCAGCTCCTAGTGCGCTGTCTCGCGTTCGAACGACGCGCTTGCGCCGGGAACTTTTGTAACGTATACGAAACGGAGGATAGACCGAAACAGGTGTGCGCCGCCACCTTTAGGCGGTCCAGCAGCCACGCGCCGAATCGCTTAATATCCTCGCACCAAAAAAAGCGAACGAGGTCTCGAGCGAGCCGGTGCCCATTGGGCCGAACAATGTTTCCCAGACCCGGCGGACTCAGCGTGAGCGGGCAGTCCGGAGCTGGCCGCGGACGGAGCGATCGAGTATGCGGGCGCGAGAGCTTATACATGCCGACGGGAAAAATACCGATGTAGAGGGCTCGGAGGGAAGGAAGGTCCCTTTCGTCGATCCCGGGGAACTCGTGCTTTAATTAAAGAGCTCCGGGCGGTCGGCCGGGCGCCTGGTGCTCGTAAATCCGCTGTCGTCGGGCCTGGCTGTCTCACGTACAATGCGGCCGTTCCTGTCGCGTAGCCTAATTAAACGTTGCTCTGGCATCCGGCCGGGTAAGGCATGCGGCTGCTTCCGCTGCTGTTATTGCTGCTGGTGATGCCGCCGCGGCGTCGTCGTCGTTGTCGTCGTACTCGCCGTAGAAGGTGTTTCCTGGGAAACTGGGCCGAGTTGGAAAACGCGTGCGCGCGAGGGCGTGCAGGCCCAAGTTTGTACGCCGCGTCACCGCCGGTCCTCGCGACAATGAAGTCGAGGGAATTTGTCGCGAGCGCGAGAATTTTAGTTCCTTTTGTTTGTGTTTTCTTTTATGATGGGAAAGTCTTTGGAGTGCGCCCATTCGGCGAGACGGCGAGCGGTTGGTTTCGAAAGGGCTTGATCAAGAAATCAAGAAAGAGTGCTTAGGGAATACGCTGTCGAAGCGGCTGGCGCAAGCGCGGGGCCCTATATTAGGTCTCGTCTGCGCGAGTTCTCGGGCAAGTGGGACGCGAGATGAAGTCGGGCGCCCGCGTCAGCAGCTTTGACAGCGTTGTACCACGGTTACTTGATCCTGGTTGTTGCACACTAAGTATCCGAGTGTCGCGTTGAAAAAGGGCACTCTCCAAAGGGTGATAGTCTCCAAAGGGTGTAGTATCCAAATGGTGTAGCCTCAGAAGGGTGTATAGTATCAAAAAGCTGTTGTCTCTAAAGGGTGTAGTATCGAAAGGATGAACCCTTCAAGCGGTGTACTCTCGAGATGGTGTACTCAAAGCAGTCTTGGGTAGTAACGCGTTACTAGTAAAGCGTTACTGTAACTTCGTTAGTTCTTTAATAACTTGTAACTGTAACGAGTTACTTTTAAAAATGTAAATTGTAACTGTAGCTCTATTACTTTTCTCAGGTAACGATAGAGTAACGACGTTACTTTTGTCGTTACTTTCCAGCTTTAGAGCGCTCCC